GAGATATGCTTATGAAATATAAAATGCCATTTTCTCCCCCATTCGAGCTCACGCTTTCCCAAGCGTGGTATGTGCAGTATTTTCTAGGCATCTGCAGATAAGCCAAAGTCTGCAAGATCGATGGGTATTAGCTGATGTGCATCTGTACTGTAGGGGGAAGCTACACCTCATGCATATCTTTAAAAAATAGTTTCAATAGTCTAACCTATCCTTTCATTTTGTTAGTCTGTGCAGTCTTTAAATAAATCAAACTACTTCAAAAGCAATCGTCATTGTGCCGTACAAGATCACAGGGTGTGTCTGTTCAGCCATTGGTTTTGAACACAAATGTACTCTGACCTCTGTAGAACGAGCAGGAAAATTAAATGTGCGGGCTGATAGATGTGCCAAGCCTCCCTTCTCGTGCGCTCGGCTTACATGATACATGTGCATTTTTCAAGTAACTCTCTCTGTCAGTGAGTGTCTGCCTTTCTCTGCAGGAAAAATGCATGAGAACTAAACTGGAAAAATTAATACCTTGTGACAAAGAGCGACCTAAAATGAATAATTCTCGGTCTCTTCTTTGACAAGAATTGTTCTATCTAATGGCTCACAGACTTCAGAAACTGCAGTGTTTATTAATAGCTATTTCCATAGAAGTGTGATGTTAGTGTTTTTGTCTAGATAACTTTTAGGACTGTTGATGTATTTGTGAGCACTTGCTGTAAGTGGTGATGGCAGTGTTTTGCCAGAGCTCTTTGCTCTCTGTGTTTTGTGTGTTTTATGTGCTTATGTCACCCGCTAATGGCATTAGAGGAGGATGTGTCCCGTTTGGTTTTTTCCATTAATAGGATTATTTGCCTAGCGCAGCAGTGACGAGGAGCTGGGTTCACTTTCACAGGTTTATGTCGGCTTTCAGGCTGAAAGGTTTAAGAGCTGCTCTGAATTACAATTGGTATTTGTGAAGTGAGTTAGATGACTGCTAAAGATTGTCCATGTTTTATTTAAATATGCTGTTTGTTTATGTAGTTGGTGTTCTGCAGCTATGTAGGCGAAGTGTTAAGATGCTCTGCATGAGCAATTCCCAGTTCAGGTGGAAGTCTCCTGAGCAGTACTTCTACTTCAGCAACAAGTTAACTTGTCACAGTTTGTTTCATTCCAATATTAAGAGCAGTATTTCTTGTGCCCCTGGCTCTGTATTGTCTTTTTAAAAAGGTCAGTGCATTCTCAAATGGGAGTTGTAACTTGTGGATTGTGCTCAGACTGGTGACCAGAAGTCTCTTCTTGTGGCCTTTTTGCTGGCATGAAAAGTCTTGAAAGTTCTTGTCTGGCTGCTGGAATTTCACTCTGGGGAATATTTGGGTTGAGAAAAATCTCAGCAGAAGAGCTGCTGGGATTAAAGGGTTATGGATTGCTTTCCAGAGGCCTTCAGGTCGGAATCTTCATTTGTCTGCCCTGGTTGGGTCCCCATAACCCCAGTATTACTCCCTCCTCTTGTGCCTCGGGCTCGCTGATAAAGCACTCGCTTTGCTCAGAGCTCCTCGGTGGGGACGCTTGGGTGGGTGGTGGGGTGTGCAGTAATGCTGTGCATGGCTTCAGGGACTCTGCCTGCTTTTCCTCTTTTGGTTGAGAGGGAGGAGATGCCCAGTGGATTCAAGCTACTTAGGGAATATCCCTAAGTATGGTGCTATCTTTATTGATAAATATATACACTGTAACAATAATAAACTTCAAACATTGATTTTGCTAGTTGCTTCTCAGGTTGTCAGCAGTGTACAAATATATATATTTGGTTTTTGTAGCCTATCAGAACTGCCCTTGCTGATAGCACCCCATGGCTTTCATTGCTGGCAGTGGTGTGCCCTCACCACTGCCTTTGGTAGCTACAACGTCTTGGCTTGCTTTGCTCAGAAACATGAGAGTCGTTAGTCTGGGTACCAAATATGCCCTGAGTGTAAATACCTCTAGTGGCCGTCATTAATGCTCTTGCTGCTCTCATCTTTAAACACTTGATTGTAACGATGGATGAGGAACAGGCTTGTTTCCGAAGGCTGTCGTTTTAAAGAGTCTCCTATAAACTTTGACTCTGAACTCACTGTATACTCTTCTCAGTAAACAACCGAGAGTGGCGATGTTCTTTATCTGCTGCCTGAATTGGTGCTGGCTGAGAGTGTTGCGGCATACAGCATAGGAGGGTGTAGTAATGTTATGTGATGGTCCAAAGATATCTACAGGATGGGAACTGCAGTTAGGTGAAGTAGCTTGACTTCTGATCTGCTAAATACCTGCTAAGATAAGGGGGTTTGGGTTCTGAGAGAATGGAAGAAGATAATTGTTCATGCAACATGTAGTTAAGTTGTACAGTCCTGTCCCAAAGGGTGTTCCGGGTGCTAAAAGCTTACCTGGACTTGAGGAAAAACTGGGTAAGTTAATAGAACAATAATTAATTCAGAATTATTAAGCATGTAGGTAGGATCCCTCTAGCCCAGGAAGTTTAAATCATTGATTGAAAGCTAGGAGAGCTTTTGGACAAGTATTCTGTGCTTGGTTCAGTTTATGTTCTTTTTCTGAGCATGCTGGTGTGTACGTACATCTCTGCGCCGCTCCTGAAGGCGTTACAGTACCAGATGGATGTACAGAGTGTGTGCAGACGCCTGACATATCTGCTCAATGTAAAGCCCTTAAACTGAGAGCACACCAGATAGAAGCTGCTAAGAACAAGTACTGCATTTGATCCTAGCCAGATGGTGGGGGTGGGATACTCCCTTATCTTTGGAGACCTGGAGTTGGGAAGAATTCCTGGCAGGCTGAGCTTAGGTAAAACAGGGGCTCTGTTAACAGAGCATGGGCAATACTGGCCTTAGCTAGGCATCGGTGCTGTGCTTGGCAATTCAGCACCTCCAGAGATCTGCACTGCTGGCGCATCTGATGAGGGTCTTTGTTCTGAAAAAGCAAATCTGAATTAGGTTCCAAGCTTCGGTTACACTGACAGAATGCAACGCAAGCATGTTTCATTAGTTTCTGCCCTTTGAGCTCTCTGAGATTCACCTGCCTTGGAGAACAATTCAATTGGTGTGAGTTTGTAGCTGGACTCCGTTTACCGAAGCTGCTCTGTGCTGATGGAGCCATGAAAGCTCTGTTTCCCAAGAACTCCTGTCTGTGCTTAGTCTGAGCTGGGCAGGAGCGGGGAATGCGGTTTAGCAATCCTAAATCTTGTGGCCAAGACACTCTTGGGAGGATCTTCAGCATAAAGGGCCTGCAGGATGAGTGCAGCTCATGAGTCATGAGGAATGTCTGCAGGCAGATAAAAATAGAGACAAGTGAAACCTTTGGGATAAATAAATCAAAGACTGTTCACCTGGAAGGCATCGTCTTACCTACATGGTTTCTCACCAGACTGATTTCAGTTGAGTGGTTTGTTTTTGGGTGGGTTTTTTTGGTTGTTTTTTGCTGTTGCTGTCACTTGTGAAGTGTATTTATTTTTTTTTCCCCCGAAATGCCATTTTTAGCTTGAGGAGACAGACTTGGTTCTGGTCAGAAGATAACTTGAGATGACATAGTCATTGCACTTTTCTGGAGTAGCTTTGTCATGTGGACACTAATTGCAGAGAAGTCTTGGAAGGTTCTTCTCAGAAACACATTAGTGCTGCGAGGCAAAGGGCTGGCGCTCGCTGGCAAGTGATGCGGAACAGTTTAGAAGTTACCTGGAAAGAGTGAATTTGTGCAAATATGAGCAAGTGGTGGTTGTTTTTTTTAAGTCTCTTTCCTGAGAAAACCCATTTATTACGTTATTTGCAGTCTCCTGCGCATGTCCTCCAGGGTGGGGGTGTGTGTGGTTTTTCTGGCTGTGCACCGTGTTTTTCTTTTGCAGAGAAAGCAGTGCATTGCTTGGCATGTTGACCTAGTTCTCTAAATATGGCACTGGGGAGATCTCCATTTAAATTTAAAACTTGTGAGAGTCTGCATCTTCCCTGCTGTTAATCATTATGCTGTCTATTTAATGTTTTGACAGCCTCTGTGACTCCTCTCATTTAACATGTTGGGAGACAGACTGGCAGCAGCAGTAAGCTGAAACCAGGTTCTATTCAGAATGGGTTTCATCACTGTAAAAGGAGGTTGGTTTTTTTTTTTAAAGCAGAGGCATGTGTGTTTTCTAATTTAAAATCGGTTACATTTCCGTCAAAATAGGATCACGCATTCCATCTGCTCTGCAGTTGTAACTGTCTGAAGTCTGATCGTGAGTCTGGTTTCAGCTTTGTGGTGTGGTGGAATGGGAAAAAATTACTCCTGTGAGTATTTTGGTCCTTCTGTGTTATTAGTGGTGATAAGTATGCCCTTCATTAATGTCAGTGGACAGTTAATTTGACTAGTGTGTTTGTTATTTTAAAGTGAGTGCTTGCATGTCTGCAGAACATAACAACACGGTAGTGAAGTTTCATGCGTGCTTGTCTCGTTAGTTAACGTTAAATCTAAAATGCATTACTCAGGGCATGAGCATGCGGAGAATGTATTAATAGCTATTGCTTTCTATCGCTTGGCTATCAAGTACTGGATTATCAGAAAATAGATCTGGGCTGATGAGACTGTCTACGTATTGTTTACAAGATATTTTAGATCTGGGCAATATTTACTTGTGAGCCTGAGTCACTCCGGCAGTCTGTTGCAACGCAGCAACAAAAGCTCTGGGAGGGTTTTGGTGGGGATCGCTGGCGAGGGACCGGCTGAGCCGGCAGCCGGACCCACCGAGGGCTTCGCCGGCCGGGCAGCCTCCGGCTGGGGGCAGCCCCTGGGTTTTGTAAGAGTTATGAAGTCTGAAGATGATCCTGAAGATGGGGAAAATATACTTGGGGATCCAAGCTAAGTGAAGGATGGAACAAAATGAATTCGGGGCGGTGGAGAGAATACACTTCTTGAAGCCGCCCGTTTGAACTCTGGCTTGGCGCTTTGCGAGCTGCAGGGGTTTGTAACTTGATGCGAGAGAAACCGATTGCTTCTGGCAGCAAGAAGCTGCGAGTTCTACGATGACTTCTTGGTTTTCTTGTGCAGCTAAAGACACGGTAGGTATCTTAGGTTTCGTATCAATGGCAGTAGTTTACAACGGCAAAAATGTGAAAGATTGAATTTGCTAAATGTTTTGTAACTGTTCCTTTTTAATTCATGTGAGTTATATCTGTCTTTAACAACTCTTCCTGTGAGGAATTTTCTTTAAATGTTAAATGCTCAGGTGGCAATATTTGATTTAGTATGTCATAAGTAAATTGTATCCACTTCTTAAGTGCTATAAGCAAAGGAAAAAAATATTTATATTAAGATGATAGTAATTAAAAAAAGTGCTCTTGTTAATCACAAGATTTGCGAAATAGGAGGGAAGAGTGGCTGGTGAAGGTTTTCTATGGATTTGACTGGGTTTGTGCAAGCGAGTATAAGCTGCAAGTAAGAAACTTGGCAATCTAAACCCAGCTGCAAACATGCAGGATGTGATCGCGTTCCTCTAAGGATGTGAAATGTGTGATACGCATAAGAATTTAGAGGGAACAGAGCTTGATGCTATGTAGGTGTGGTTTCCAAGGTACTTAAAACATAAAACTTGCATAATAAGGTAGTTTGTAGCTGAGGAATCTTTGCCAAGCTGCGGAGGAGCGCTGTCCTTGCCCCGGCAACGCATGCAGCTTTTGCTGTGGACGGTAACGTTGCCAGTGTGCAGACTTCATTATGCCAACCAGGCTGGCTTGGCTTTTGAGCTAATGGATGTTTTAATCGATCCACAGTTGGTCCTGCGCTTTGGCAGCGCAACACTAGTGGGTGTAACTTCATTAGTTGTCTATTTTTATTACCTCACGACACTTTTAGCAAGTGTTGTACTGAATAAGCTGTTGCTAAGACTTTGATTACAGTAATCTTGTTTATATCGTGAGAATGGGGAATAAAGATAATGATGATTACAGCTCCATTATACAAATCGTTCTGCAGATGCAGGGTGGTGGCAGTGGGTTGTTGGTTTTGTTCTTTTTTGGTTTTTTCTTTTTTTCTTTTTTGGTTTTATCTCCTCTTTTACCTAGCAAACCCTGGCTGTGGTGCAGGGCAAGACCTTGCTTGCTGCAGCTCTGGGCTCTGACCGCTTTGGGAGCTGGCTGATTGGCACTGGTGCTCTCCGTTGTGGCTCTTCCACGCTTTATTACATTAAATCTTGAAAAATTTCGGTCTTTGCTAGTAAGACAGTCTTAAGGAGAAGGTAGTCCCGTCTTGATAGAATGTAACTGTGTTTTTTTAACATGAAGATTGTACACAGCTTTTGTTTCTTATCTATTACTGTTCTTCTGGCTTTCACATGAAGACTGCTAAGACTTTTGTGGTGGGTTCAGCGCTTTAAGGAGGCAGAGGAGTGTGTTGTGATGAGCTCAACATGAAGGATATGGGATTGATAGGCTGCTTTCTTGCTTAAAGAAACAAAAATGCTTTCCGCTACTCTTTGGCTGCTCTATTTTGGAAAGTATTAGGTTTATCAGTTTTCATGTTCTTTATTCAGTGAGGCATGGAACTTCTGATCCACGGTGATAAGCAACTTCATGCACCTACAGGCTGCTTACGTCTCGCTGTCATCAGTAAATTCTTTGGCTGTGCAGAGTTAGATTTTCATATAATACTCCATTATAAGCCTTTTTCTTTTGTTACAAGCTTCTTGAATACCAGGTCATGAGTGTCCAGCTTGGCTGTGAGGGTTCTGTCACAGAACAGAATTTCCTGAAAAGTGTAAAGCAACTCGGAAAGGATGGTTTGGCAATGAAGAGAACAAGCTCTGTGTTTTGGGGTGGGAAGCTTGGCCTGTGGCCTCAAATTCTAAATTTGAAGGAAACAAGGAAAAAGCGGAGGGGTGATGAATGTCTGAGACAGAATGCATGGTGGTCTATTTATAACTGACTCGTACTTTCTTTGCTCTCTGCACTGCTTTGGTAATTGCACGCAAATTAAAGCTTTAAACTTTGCACTTTCTTCTACAGCTCAATAGATGTTCATCTCTTGAATATCACCCTTAGCTAAATTTTGACCCTTTGAACAGTCCGACACAGGAAAAACTGTGTCCTCTTGCCTATTTTTAGCACATCCATTCGATGTTAAAACCTGAAGCCACTTGGGACCTATTGGAGCTGGTTCAGATCTATTTTTAGGAATGGCCACATTCGATGAGTTGAGTTAGTAAGTACGTTTCTGTACTGATGCTGTGTGTGTACCTACGTTGACTTGCAGCCTTTCAGGATTCGGTTTTGTACCGTGCAGGGCTGGGGTACGGTCTGGTGCGGTATCGGACCCCCTGCCGTGCCCGGCTGCGTGCTTGTGCCTTTCCTTCCTCGGTACCTGGCTGCAGGCGGGTCAGGTCAGCGAGCTGGTTCGATGGCAGGTCTCTCCGTAGATGTTTTCTTCGGGATCAGCTTGTCGGGCAGCCGCGGGGTGAGCGTGCTCGCCTGACCTGAGGCATGCAAAGCGGAGGGAGAGCAGCTGGGGAGGGGAGGGATGCTTTTTTCGGCAGCAGCAGCCTGCGGTTACGTGGGGTGGGAAGTAGCGTCAAACTCGGCACCCCTGCGAGCGGGTGAAAGAATGTTTTGAGGAAAAGCAGCTTCTATGAGTTGGTAAGGTGAAAATAGTCTCTGCTTCTCGCTTTTCTGATGTTCTTTCATCAGTCGTAGTTATGCATTGGACAAGAAAAACAGTGTAACTTTTGGTAAAGCTGGGAAGCTCAGCTGTTCTTGATAAATGTGAGTTTGGTTTAGAGAGGGCTAAATTTAGTACATATTTCATGTGTTGCTGACCGCTGAATTCATGAAAACTGAAGTCTGCTGTTGATCACATCTTGTAATTGTCCTGTTCAAGTATCTGTCAAAGCTGAGTCCCACCTGCTGAGGTCTCTGGTACCTTTACTATATAAGGGTTGATAGAGGGGAAAATTGTAGCAGCTGTGTCTTATCTGCTTGCTTCCTTATGAAACATTTTTTTAATCAATACTGAAAAGCTTACACTGGAGAGGATTAGTTAGATGGGAAGTTGTTAGCAGTACTATTTTGGGCTCTGTTACTTGCAATTCCTCACTTATCTGTTCCTTTGTGTTGCATCTTGTTTATTAATTTGTAAATTTTGAGGCATGGACAGATTTAATATATGGAAATGAAACACATGATTGTTTTATTTAGACTGTTACAAGTCAAATGATTGACAATAGAGACAGAATAGACTTTCAGTTGGAAGGGACCTACAGCGATCATCTAGTTCAACTGCCAAACAAGATGAAGAAGAAACTCTCCAGTTTTCCTACAGTTAATCAAGTTAACAGCCTTGCTGATGTGAGAGGATGGTTGATGTGCCTTCCCTAAAGGGCGTGAGACTAGGAAGAGGCAGCTTTTCAGATACATAGGTGCCGCAGAGAAAAGGGGGGAGTTCTTAATGTGCATAGTGGCGAGATTAAAACGTGGTAACCAGGCATGAGGAAGAATGTTCTCTGGTACGATTAATGAAGGACAGAACTGCAGGTCCCCTTGGACACCCTACCCTTCAGTGGAGCTTTTGGGAGTTAGGCGAGTAGCAGGACAACAGTGCAGAGCTGTAGCTGCCCTTGCGTGGGGTTCCCTGTCTGTGTGACTTCTGAAGTCCCTCCTAGACACACCGCGATGTTTTTGAGATATTACAAGTGGCTCTTCTATAAAGTGTGTATGTGGACGAGTACACATGCTAGCCCTTCTGTGTTCTGTGAAGTCTTTAGTTTATCGCAGCCGTATGTAGCAGTTTTTTGTTTGTTAATCAACCACAGGTTGGGGAGAGATTTGTATTTTGGTTAGGATCGAAGTATCCGTGATGAGAGAAGAGAAAGTAAAGATGCAGTGAAACGAGCTGTCTGGGCAGCCTCACGCGGCTAACGAGGGGCCAGAGGAGATGTCTGAAGACAACCTAACACGAGAAACTGTCTGAAAACCTGTTATTTGAGAATGAGGATAGGGAGCCACTGTGCATGGCTTTAGTTTTAGTCTTGTTAGAACAAAGCAGAATGAGGAAAACCAAAGAGGTTTGACCCTAAAGGTCTCCGTTAGGACCAAAGTGACTTAACCAGACTGTCTCAGAGCACCATACATTCAATGCTAACAGCCTGGCTGAAATGCTACGGTGTAGTTATACATAAATAACTGAACATCTGCACAGGTACAACTCTTATCTGTAAACCAAGGTATTTTTTGTTTTGCCCACCAATTGCATATGATTCAGCCTGTTCTTGAAGTTGCTGTAGTAGATCAATAGTGTACCATAAGCTTACTTGCTTTTCTAATTCTCTCTTATTCAGCTGAACACAGACTGGAACAAATATGATGACAGGTTAATGCAAGCAGCTGAAAGGGGCGATGTGGAAAAGGTTTCATCAATCCTTGCCAAAAAAGGAGTCAGTCCTACTAAACTGGATGTGGAAGGGAGATCTGCGTAAGTAACTTTCAGTAGCTTCCCGACACCATTATTGGAGTACTGGAAGTTACTCAATTCCTAAATCTTAATGCTGCTCTAAAAACTCCTTTTAATATATAAATCTGCGCAATATACTGTGTTAGATTCTAGCCTCATCTAAACTAGAATACCAGGTAGCTAGAATGTCAAATTCTCATAAACAATCTTCAAAGTGAAGATCAGTATTTTAAATACTTGGTCTTGCCAGATTTGAATGTTAAAGAGAAATGGAAAGCGTATTGGTTTTTCACCTGGCTCACTGATTCAAGGTAAATTACTACTACTACAAAAAGTCATCTTGTTCCTTAAAGTAAAATCTGCACAACTCTTATCTGGATTTGGATGCTCTTCAAAGCTGGATTTGTACTGTATAATGCTTTCAGTTTGCAGCTATTTGCTTTGACTTTCCTGGTTAATACCATTTTTGTCTGTAAAACAGTTGTGCTTAAGCAAGGTGTTTTCTGTTTTTAGATTCCATGTTGTAGCATCAAAGGGAAACCTGGATTGCTTGAACACCATCCTTATTCACGGAGTTGATATCACAGCCACTGATGCTGCAGGTAGGCTTCCTCAAATGTCCACGTGCAACTTGTGAAAGTTCTCAGCTTGGTTTTTATTTTGGAGTGGGATTAAGCTAAACTATAGGATAGATGTTCTTCCTTCCCACGTATTTCCCTGTGGTTGGCAAAAAAAATTATCTGTGTGACTTGTTGCTGAACTTAGAGGAAACTGGTCATGGCCAGTAATGTAAGTTCATGAGTGCCCCGACATGCAGCAGAACCTGTGAACTTTGGCTTTGTGCTGCTATAACTGTATATGTAGTCTGCTCCAGTCTCACTGGGGAGATCGGTATTTCTGGTTGAGAATAACAGTATAAGAACTGTTTTAAATGAATTTGTGTTCATTTAAATACAAGTGTATTTCACTGAGACTTGTAAAGTACTGTACACAATGAGGATTAGAATTAAATTATATGGTAGGTGTTCGTGCACCCATACTGAGCCGTCAAAACTTCAGAGTGCCTCTGTGCTACCTTCTTGGTTTGCATGTGTGAGATCAGAGTTTGTGAAGTGTTATTAAAGAGGCAATTAAAAATGGTTGCTAATTTTGCCTCAGATTGTCTACCTCATAATTTAACGTGCTTAACAAATATTGCCTTCTTTTCAACTTCATTACAGAAATAATCTAGCCTCCTTTCATATGACAGATTTTTTTTTTTTTAAATGCTTATGTGGAGTCATTTGCAGTATTTTGACATTAATTTCGCTATTCATGAACTTGAATCCTTGGCTGCGGTTTGTCTAAAATAAGAAAAGACTGCTTAGCAAATACTGAAGTATATATGAAGTAGATGACTTAGTTGATCTAAACTATCTTGTTGTGAAATCAATCTAGCAGTCTAGTGACACACGTGTCTTGATGTTTCATACATCTAACACGAGCAGTAATGAAGCATATGAAATTACAGAGGAGACAGAAGACAGTTTTTTGTTGAGATGAAATAAGCTGTGCTAATACTTTGGTGAAGTACAAATTAATTTCTTATGGATTAGTGTTATGTGATTAGTAACAGACTTTGAGAAACGACATAGGCGTGTTGAGTTCAGTATTTGTAAATGCATGTTCAAAATAGAACCTGAATTGATGTTGATCTCTTTTTAGGTAGAAACGCATTGCACCTAGCTGCAAAGTACGGACATGCTTTATGTTTGCAGAAGCTGTTGCAGGTATTGAAAAATACAACTTGTCTGTTACGGTTTTTATTCTTGAAAAGAAAAAAGGTGCTCTTAAATATACTGATTCAAAATTGGGATATGCCACTCATCTCTCTCTTTTTTTTTCTTTTTTGAAAAATTACATTCTTTTTTTGAAAAATTACATTCTTTTTTTGAAAAATTACATTCTTTTTTTGAAAAATTACATTCTTTTTTTGAAAAATTACATTCTTTTTTTGAAAAATTACATTCTTTTTTTGAAAAATTACATTCTTTTTTTGAAAAATTACATTCTTTTTTTGAAAAATAAGACCGTCATGAGGAAGAAACCCTTTTCATATTAAATAACAGGTTGTGGGTGAAGGAGTGCTAAAATAAAGAAAATAAATGATCTTTTCCTCTCTTTATCTAGACAATCAAATCAAGTTGTTGTTTCTACCTCTTTAAAGAAAATGGAGTTGACTGTCTTAAAGACTAGTGCTCCTTTTCTGAATACAGTTGCATTTAGGAACAGTAACACTGAAAGGTCTGCTCAAGAGTAGTGTTTCTGCAAAAGATGGGCATTTATATCCATAATCTTTCATTAATGAAACAATATTGGGGGGTTGTCTTAGGTTTGTGTGATATTTTTTTTTTCTTCATTTACTCCTGGTCAGTTTATGCTTATTTGATTTGGTTTGGTTTGGGTTTTTTTTAACTTTTAATGGGTTCTTTTCATCTTCTGTTTATTTGATGCCTGTCTTCATGCAGATATAAGTGGTGCATTTTCTGTGGAGTGCCAGAACTAGTAGTGATACTGGTAGCAAAGGAGTAATGACAAGTAGTGGAGAATCTTAGCCATAGTGAACGAACATTTGAAAGTGTTTGTGAAGAGTCTGTGATGAATTGCAGATGTTCTTTGTACAGTCTTAATTTACTTCTGTAACTTTTGATCAGTGCATTTAGAACACTAAAGTGCATGCACCCATAGCTCGCTCTTTCACATATGTCAGTATATTTGTAAACTGCAAACTTTTTCTTTCTTAAATCACTTTTTATTGCTTTAATTCAAACCTCAAAACATTTCATGTTTTGTAAGTGCAATCCGTATCCTAACTGATAAGCTGGGTTACTTTACTTTAACAGTACAATTGTCCAACAGAGAATGTGGATCTTCAAGGAAGAACTGCTCTTCATGATGCAGGTAAAAGCTTTAGCTTTTCTAGTAACTGTAGTATGAAATCTAGATTTAATTAATGGATTAATTTTTAGATGGGCCGGATCCTTCTCTTTTTAATTTAATTACTCCTCTGTAGTAGGAGAAAGTGGTTTATGTTGTCACGACATTTGTCCTCATTAACAAACTTGTTAACAGACTTAGCAGAGGTTGTAGGTCTGAATGTCTCTTCTGATGCTCATAAATTGTCTAGTAAAATCTTAAGCAAGTGTCCCGAGTGGTGTGTTAGAGTAACAATACTAGTAGGTTAAGGTACTTCGGATTGTCTGAAGCCTCATTATGCTATGTGGTGTCTGATTTTTTTTTTATGTGCTTTTGAGATGGTTGTGCGAGAACTAAGTCATAGAGCCTCGTCATGCTTTAACTTAGTTGCATGAATTTTTGTGAAACAAATACACCCAAGGAGGTGTTTGAGGCTGTTTGCAGCAGTATAACTTGCTTTTTCTTTTTCTCTTGAAAGCTATGTCAGACTGTTCCTCTAGCATACAACTACTGTGTGATCATGGGGCCTCAGTGAATTCAAAAGACGGAGTAAGTTGCTGCTTGTAGCTCTCTCCTGTACAAACCCTGTTGGAGTTCTTGTGCTTTTGTTGCTTTCTCTCCCTTTCCTTACTTCTTTCCCCCTTCGTCTCTTCAGGATGGGAGGACACCACTGGTGCTGGCCACTCAGATGTGTCGTCCCACAGTTTGTCAGCTTCTGATAGACAGAGGAGCAGATGTCAATGCCAGGGACAAACAAAACAGGTAATGCATGCAGAAGGTTGTCGGAATGCCTGCTGACATTTAAAGGGTAGAAAGTTGTCCCTTGGCTTTCAGGCTACAGAATAAATATGCTAAATTCAGTGGAAAAGAACCTGGGATTTAGTTGAGAAGTAGATGTGCCAATTCAATAATGCAGATAAGGGTGGCCTTTTCTATTGCTTGTTCTTGCATCTAAAATATATGTAGGCTTGTTACTGCCAGCAGAGAAACTGCGGTTGGTTGCTTTAAGGGTTTGTCTGTCCAGAGCTTGATCTCGTGCTCTTTGGGATCAATATGCAACATGGATTATGACAAAAGTGTTTCTCTGTCAAGAAATACTTGAGTCCCATTGGACCTCCGAAGGGACCTAAAGGCCTTGAAATGTTTGCTTCTATATTCATGGAAGGGGGTCAGGGGAGGGGTTTTCTATTTGTAGCTGCTACTTCTGCCAGTGATTTCTTGGAGGATGACTGCCTGGTGGCCAATGGACATGAGGTTGCTGTGGGACAAAGCATGGGTACTTGCACTGCATGTTCTGAAGCTGGCAAGCGTTCAGAAGGCGTTGCCAGGGCTCCCAAGCACTTGCCCTGCCAAATTGTGTCTAAAGTTCTTGTCTTGTGTTTGTTGTGTCCGCTGAGATTTGCATCTAAATAGAGAGGAAGCCAAAAGTCACATGAGTTTTCAAAACACTGCCTGGCTCTCTCAAAGGCAGTGGGCTTATGCTGGGTTTCATGCAAATACTGCTATTACAGTGTTTTTGTTTGCTTTTTAACAAATATTCAAACATTGACTAAATGGCTTTTTAAAGCTTAGTTTCCTCTCTTGGTAGAGGAAAGATTCCTTGACTCAAGTTTCCATGATTAGACATAAGCGTATGAAGAATCATTTCTGTAAGTGATTGCTCCCTTACAGTGTGAGATCCCCGAGTCTCTGAATGCAATCTTTCTCCCCATCCTCAGGACTGCCTTAATGTTAGGCTGTGAATACGGCTGCAAGGATGCAGTAGAAGTTTTGCTCAAAAATGGCGCGGATGTTAGTTTGACTGATGGCCTTGGTCATGACTGTGCTTACTATGCCAGAATTGGTGACAATATTGACATTTTGGCTTTAATAAAAGCTGCCATTGAGGATTCCAGCAAAGGTATGAAGAACGTGGTTATCGCAGTTCACTGTTATTCTTTCATTTGAATTGTGTCTCTTCCCACTGCTGTGTCTTCAGGAACTGTTTTTTGGAGGGCAGCTGTAGTCCTTTGAGCAAAAAGGTGATAAACTGCCTGTTTGGGAGGGGAAAGAAGGCTTTTGGAGTTTGTTTGCTTTTAGGAAAGCTTTTAAGGTTAATGCAGGCTCTGATGCCTCGAGGTATTAACATTACTGAACCTGGCATTGCAGTATTGATCATAGCAGTTATTTAGCCTTATTTATAGAAAACCTTTGTACTTGTGAATGCTTCCATATCTGATTAACTGGGGGTGGTGGTGAATCTGTTTCTTGAAATAGAGGTGGGTGTTGGTCTCTTCTCCCATGTAGTTAGCGATAGGACGAGAGGAAATGGGCTCAAGCTGTGCCAGGGGAGGTTTAGGTTGGAAATTAGGAAAAATTTCTTCACGGAAAGGGTAGTCAAGAATTGGAACAGGCTGCCCAGAGAGGTGGTGGAGTCCCCATCCCTGGAGGGGTTCAAAAAACGGGCAGAGGTGGCACTTGGGGACATGGTTTAGTCTGGTCTACCCTTGATTGGTTTAGTGTGGACTTGGTAGTGTAGGTTAATGGTTGGACTGGATGATCTTAAAGGGCTTTTCCAACCTAAACGATTCTATGATTCTAAATGCCCTCCCAAGATCAAAACTTGAATTAGCTGAATGTGTTGCATGAGTCTGAATTAAATGCATTTATTAACTTCCTGTATTTGTGGTGCTTTTTCAGCAAGAGATACCATGAAGAAAGGGCAGCCTGAACGAAAGGTAAGGCTGCTTATACTAAGTATCTCCTAAGGCAGCGTATTGCTGGTATTGTTGGGAGGGTGATTAAGATTGTGCTGTGATGCAAAACTGGTTCACTAGTTTTTGAATTCTTAACTTCATATGTAGCTGAGAAGATTCCCTCTGTAATCAGATGGTGTGTCTATTTCTATTTGAGAAATATTCCATGATGTGCATATTCAGGATTAGAGTTTTGACAAGCATCCCATTTACTGTCTGGATGAGATCATGAGTGACCTCTCACTGAGAAGCAATCTGTCCAAATGTGAATGTCGGTAGTATTGCCCCCCAGTGGAAGCTGAAATGGAGGCTGAGAGCAGCCCGCTGTCCCCAGAAACGGATGTCTGCAGAACACAACAGGAATATAAATGAATACTTTACTGTTGCAATAACAGATTACTAATACATCACAGAAGTGGAATCGGCTGCATGCGCAGGAGGAGGTGAATGTCAAGCTGTATCAGAAGGAACATAATGCTCAGGTGAGCAAGAGAGATTTCTGACTTGTGTATTCCCATATGCATAATGAGCCAGCCACCCACAAGATGTGCTTGTAAGTAAGCATTAGTGATGCCATTAAGAAAGGTCATATATTGCTGTTTACTTAAAACTTAATTGCATGACTGTGTCATGTGGCAATTATGCAGATAAGCAGTAAACTTTTTCGGGGGGGAAAAAAAAATACTTGTTTGTGTAATAAATGGGTGCAAGTCTCTTCATGTCTTAACTCCTCCTGTCTCTTAACCTTCTGTCTACTTCTTTCGCCTGCAGCAAAATCATAGGGTCACAAACCAGGAAGATCTGTTTTTTTAACATTATCAAGAGATGTGTGTCTTAAGTATCTTACTAAAAAGAACCTGTGTCATAATTGTTCTATTAACCAGTATTAATTTTCCCATCTCATTACTATGTCATTATAGTTTTCAAAAAGGTAAACAACATTTTAAGCTATGGGGAACAAACCACGGAGAAATTGAGGCCTTCATTCTGAAATGCTTTGTAATAAAAGGATAAAGATCTCTCAAACCAGAAAAGTTGCATTTAGCTAAAGTAGTTACCACAGTTAAGGCGGTGATTATCAGGGAAGAGTTAAACACGCTTTATTGTTTGCGTGTGAGCACTGAACTGATTGACGGTGCAAAGACCTATCATTTCCATGTGTTGGGTTTATTATACGTTACTAGGGTGATTCTTGTGGCTGCTGGAACAATTAGCACATTTAAAGGTTGCTGTGCTTCATGCCGGTGAGGCTTTTTCATTACACCTTTGGCTGGAGTGGTTGGGTGTTGGGAACTGTTTTAACATTAGTTATTTTTTCTGTTAACAGACAGCAGATAAGCAGCCTCTTGAGCACTGTCAGCATTGAATGTAATCTTACTCTGCTAATACTTTCAAAACCTGTATGTGCACTTCTATGAGAATGAGCTATCTAGAGCTGAAAAGCTTGAAGGCTCTGGAGCTTGTGCCTACGTAAACCTTCAGACTGAAACAGACCTGGAGTAAGGCCACAAAATCATTAGGGGGCTTGTTAGGCAAGGCTTGGTGCCTTTGACTGTTAAAATTGTTGGTTCAGATTCTTTACTTTTCCCAATCTGCGTGTACTGTGGTGTTTTTTGGGTTTTTAAATTTTATTTTTTACTTACTTTTTTTTAAGGAATTGGAGTTAGAAAATCAAGATTTGAAAGATCGAATGAGAGAAGTGCAAGAGGAGCAAAGGATGCTGCTGGATAGAATCAGCGGGCTACAACTGCAATTGAATGAGGTAAGCCTGGTGTTGGAATAACCGGACTTGAAAGCTGTCGCAACCTCCTGACGCTGACAGTGAAGGCTGGTAGAAGGAGAAAGGAAAGCATGTGTAATTAGGATGCGGTCTTCACTGCTTTCCTGCAAATTATTTCTGTATGTGCCGCTGTCACTTTCTTCTGCTGCAAAAGCCTTTGGTCTTGTAATAGTATTCAAAATGTGAGGAGACACGTTACAATGTCATTCACGGGTCCTCATAAATTTGAGCAATAATGTTTATGGCTATACTTCGCAATGTAACGTGAACCATGAGGTGTTCTGGTATGTTGTAATTTGGAGAGTAAACTTCACCTGCACAGTTAAATGTAGGTGTTGTGTGTCAGTACACTACGTAGCCACTGCTTACTTTCCAGCTGTTACTGTAGGTGGAAACAGCGAAAAATCTTCAATTGGCAAAAACGGAAGCAAGGGTTTTCAACAGGGAATTTCTTACCCAAATTTGAAACCCTGTTTTTAAAAAAAGTTCCCTCTTCTTAGAGGTCTAAATGACCAGTACAACTGAAGAAAATAGAACAAGGATTTTTTTTTGCTTTGTGGAGGCTCACATTTGTTCCTTCACTGTATTTTTGCAGGGGTGCATTTAAAAAGTGTATGCAGTTTCCCCTAAATGTAGCACATGGATAGAATATTTCTTCTCGTAATCATTGGCTTGTCTGAACTTCTCTTTTAAGCATTGCCTTTATGAAGCAAACAAACAAAAACCACAAACAAGCTCTTTAATACTTGCTTTCAAAAATCAGCAAACTGCTACAGAAAAACTGTACTCTTCTGCCTCAGTAGTCAAATGTCTTTAACTTCTGTTTGTTTTTATTTCTCTTGCCAGAGGTTAGATGGTAAATGGAAGGGGAACAGTTAGAAGCATGTAGCATTAGAAACTGGGGTAGACTTGTCAGCTAATGAACTGTGTATAAGCCCCTTAAACCTTATTGAAAAAATGATTTGTGGGGGAATTTTTTTGTTATTTTTGCAGGAGCAAATGTTTGCAGATGATCTTGAAAATGAGGTACGATACATCACCTTAAAGTGTAATAGAACTATGAAATAGGGGAAGTAATTATCGCATTTAAGTAATGGTATTTAAAACTATAGAGAAAAGCTATCTATAAATGCTAATTAAAATATCTACTGATTTGTACTCAGTTTACACAGCTGCACAGCATTTCTATTACTACAAATAATATATGTAATCCCTATGGCACCTTTAAAGCAGATGTAGTATTACAAGTATCTCTTTAGTGACTTTCAGTAATGCAAGACTAATAAATGTAAGTAAATTAAACAATGGTAAATTACATTGGTGCGTATTCCCTTGACGGATTCTTCAAGACTCCTCTTGTAGAGGAGCAGTGTTGTGGAAGAACTTCAGAATCAAAAATTTAGGTATTCTTTCAGTGCTGATCTTGGTTGACATTCTCCCTAAACTTTTTTAAAAGTTGCTTGAGATCTTATAAATCTGGCCATTCTTGTGGCTTTGGCTATTGGGCACTCTTTCTCTTTCAGAAAGATGAGTTGAAGAAAATCCTAACTACCAAGGAAAAACAGCAGGAAGAAAGCTTAAGAACTATCGAAGCTCTCAAAGCTAAACTCAAATACTATGAAGTATGTTAATTGATTTGAAATGTTAATTGATTTGAAATGTAATATAGCAATTGATATTACAGTAGTAGCAATTTATATTTACAGTAGTAAATACTAAAGCAGTTTTAAATTTGTTGAAAGTCTTAAATGGTTACCTTGTTGTAAAAAGCTTTCCGTGCCCTTTAATCCCTAGCTTAACATATAGTAAAAATTTGAAGTCAGTTTTCAGACTTATTTTTGTGTTTCTTGCTGTTTGCTTTTAGGTTGACTTTGTGGGATCTGGAAGTAACTTTGGCAATAGTAAGTATATTTAATTCTTAAAACTTGCCATGCATGATGCAGTGTTAGAATACATAGACAAAGGGTGGTTTTTTTCTGTCATCTCTTCCTTTTGTTGGTCTTAACCGTAGCCAAGCATAATGTGTGTGTCCACACTTCAAACCTCAGAATACAGCCAGCAAAACTGGCCCCGGTTGGGTTTGTACCCAAGTTCTAGGGCACTGTTTGATCAGTCTTGCTTATGAGTGACTGGTCTTGTGAAATGTGCATTGTAACTCTGCTACATCTTCTGATAACATGAAAAACAAGCTGAGCAAGATCTGTGCTCCAAACTGAGTCTTCCTCTTCCCATTCTTCATATCTTAAACAACACTCATGTCCAGCTCATGACAGGACAGCTATGGTCATCGTGAAAGCTTGAGCGTAGGCAAGTTTGAAAGTGACTTTAAACACAAGACCTCAGTTTATGCTTCTATTAGAAATCATTCCATTTCCGGAAACTGAAGTCTTTTGCATCCAGCTTGGTTACAGGCCTGTCTTGCACTTGTGTAACTTAACATGTTACTTAATCTGTCATGAGCTGTTGTGAGAGCTGCTTGGCTGGCTGTCAGGAAGGATCATTTATTTGGAGTGCAAGAGGGTGCTTTTCCCTGGTGTGTTCATGTGCAGACATGCAGCTAGCTCAAGCTGGCTGCCATGACTGTTTTGCAGAACAATACCTAGCCTGGCAGAGGAGGGGTATTTTTTTTTTAGGAGTTTGTCCAGACTTCCTATGTGACTTAATTAAGGAGCAGTTGTTTTAATACCAAGTACTTAAGCAGCAGCCTGCAGCCTAGTGCTGTCCCATTGAACAGAATAAAATTAGGAAGGAAAATCGTAGTTCTTGTGATTATATGTTACTGGTTTTAAACAGAGACTAAATGCTGTTTGCTTTGCAAATCTAGGAAAAGAAGATTTACTGAAGCAAGGCCAAGTGTTTGCTGTGGAATCACAGGTAATAAATATTTTGCCACTTGAGAGCATTCTAAGACAGTTATGCTTGGGAAAGCTACATATGCTTATAAGTGTGCATATGTTAAACATTGCTTCTGAATACAAGATTATCTGCAACACTTGCTTTGCTATGTTTATTTTTAACTGCTGGTGCCCTCTAGAGTTACATAGGTGACATAGCTCTAAATGCTGTGAAAATGTCAAATACTAAACTGGCTGTAATGAGCACTCTTAAAACTGAATCAACAGACTGCTGGATCAACAGGCAGTGTCAAGTGCAACTGGTTGTTCACGTCCATAATTTTTTCCTCTTTTAAATTAAGCTAAAACTCAAGACTTTTTTCTTTTTTTTTTTTTCCTGCCAGCTATATAATAATTACTTGCCAACTTTGTTTGCTGATAGCTAGCTACCTTTTAAAGCCACAATTGAGATATTAACAAGGCCTGTCAGGCTCTTACAGTGAGTCATATGTGATAGAGATTGGCCCTAACTGACAAACTGTTCTTACACTTGAGTATTTCAGCTGTAATGCTTCCAGAAGCTAGTGATGGCTAGAAATCAATCTTAACATCCCATGCTTTTTTGCCAGACTTCACTGATAACATGTATTTTGTATGTTCTGCTGGTAACACTGAAAAACCCAGTCTCTTCAGCCGTGTTTTACATAAGGTTATCCAAATGGTTTTAGGATTTTTTTATTCTTAGTTGAAGTTTAAAATGAGTTGATGAGCAATTCTTTTTAAAAAAAAAAAAAAAAGGGGTGGTGGGCACAAAAAGCTGACCAACAAAAGAAACCCCAAACA